ATTCTAGAGGCTGCTTCAGGCAATTAAAATGGATGGATACCGCAGTATGGGGCCACATTGTATTAGAGAGTATTGACCATTCTATTTATATTCCTTTGTTCTATCACTTTCCTATTTCAATAAATCATAAATCATTAATCATAAGTAGTAGGTAATGTCCATAATTATGTATCCGTTAAACTATTTCAATTACCATAATTTCTTAACTAGTTATCGTCATTTTCGTAAACTTTCACATTCTTTATTTTTAAAAAAACGCTCAAAGATTGCAAAAGCATCATTGCCACCTCGGCAAGAAATACATCCAGAGGGACTTCCATGGGTAAATTTTCGCTGACCCGCCAACGCCGACATCGCCTGCTATGGCAGACGCCAAATGCCAGAGTCAGCCGCGGTACTCAGTATGATTATTCGAAGACATCGCTACGGGTACCAAGTGTCACGTATAAATAAAGCCTAAATGATGGAAACGCGGATAGGACCGCATCAACTGGAGAGAGACTTAATTCATGAAAAACGCTTTGCAAGGATTAGGTAAAGGAATTAGAAGGCTTTCCAATCGCCGTGAGTTTTCTTACGTGCATCTCAGGCGTTCGGGGAACATGGAGAACGATCTGAAAGAAGTTAAGCACAAAGAGCAGCTGCTTTCGCGTCCCTAAAAGAAGCCACAGACCAGCTGACGAACCCACACCGACCTCACCTGTTCCATTCAACCGTTCCATTCTCCCAGCGTTCTGTTACGCAGAAGAGACTTGTCCTGACACTATAGTTAGACAGCCTTTCTGAGCACTCCACAGTGTTCTTTGGATTTCGCAGTTAAAATATGAGATGATTATCCGTTCACGTCAGCGAAATACGTCTTTAATGCTTTCATTGATGGGCTGATCATATAATGAGAAGGATAGAACAGATGGACACTAAGAACTTTGAAATGGATCCCTCGCAAAGCAAAATGCCCCCGAGGGAGGCCACCTACCAGATGGGTTGACGTGCTCGTTACATGGATGGACCAACTGAAATCTCAGCTGTTAGCGGATAATCTATCTGGATATCGCGGACGTCGCCACCGCAGTTCAGTGCCAACATCATGTATGACGCTAACGAAAGAAAAGGTGAAAACAGCGTTGTGGCCTGCAGGCAGAGTGAAAAAAGACCATCTGAGTATCTAATCAAATAAGTAACCTAGAGAATGTATAAGAAGTAGAAAATACAAAGAAATTAGTGGTAATTTTTGTAGCAAACTGTGGTAATAAATAATCAATCTAAAAAAAAATCAAAGAGTTAAGTAAGAGCACAACAAGACTGAACAATTGATGTTGGAGGCCTCAAAGCATGAACACTGCACAATATTAAGTCACAGGGAGTTTTTTTTTTCGGTACGTGACTTGACGGCGTGACAATCGTGAAGACAGTAAGGTTCATTTTGCATTGTGACTTGGACACATTTTGGTTCCGAGTATGCAAGCAACATTGAATAAAAAGGCTTTTTCTAAAAATTTTTATATGTTCTAAGAGGAAATGGAAAAAAGCGATTTTCGAATCATTGCGCAGAATGAATTAGAGCCCTATGCCACAGAAGCAGCTACCAACATGCGCAGACATTCGTCAAGACTATCCTACTGTAGGGGAGTGCAAGGTTATTCAAAAAATTCACCTGTGAAAATCTGCACCTTGGAAATAAGCCTCGAAGTTGCTCTCCCTATTAAAAATGTATACAAGCAGGTGAAGATAGCACAAGCATTATTTTCTTTGCATGTCTATCACCGGACCTTGAAGTATCTCACAACATTGTTCAGAACCAACTTTGTGGGCTGAGCAAAAAAAACTCGACAAATGGGTACCACCTGAGCTAGTAAGCTCGCAGATGAACCTCCAGATGGAGGTGTGCTCTCGCTATTATTGCGAAGCAAACCTTCCTGAAGCAAAATTGATTTGACAAAAAAAGGATTAGGTACGATAATAGAAAAAGGTCACCGCTTTTGATGAACCACCCGAAACATTGCCAACCAGATGTTTACTCCAAGAAGGTGATGTTCAGTTTAGGTCTGCTGCTTGTTTGATTCGCTGTAGGTTTTTGAACCTAACATGCTGTTACCGCGGATTTGTATAGTAACAATCGAAGGTAACCCTTGAGAAATCGGAAATCAATTCATAGGTCTGTACTAATAAATCGAGGAGCCCTATTCTTCTCCATGATAACGCGACTCACATTGCAGGCATGACCGTCCAAAAAACTGTTGTAATGAGGACGTAGTTCGTACGACTCATTTTGAGTGGACCGCTTCAACAAACAAGAAGTTGACAATGCTTTCCAAAAAATTATCGAGTCGCTTGATCCCTGCTTCTATGTAAAAGGAATATATGGACTACCCTCACGTTGGCAGCGATGTGTTGAACAAAATGTCTTACGAAGGAAAAGTTCACTCTGAATAAAACTCGATTGATTGGAATTAAGTGTAGCAAAAGAAAAAACTTTTAAGTTGACCCAACAAACCAACAAACATAATAAAAACAAATCTGAATCAAATATTATGCAATTGCTTAAATTTTACCTTATGCCAGGTGCAAGACCTTTTATAGTTGTGGCGCGCACATGGCTGCCCACGTTATCTACTGGAATCCAGGAACTGTTAAGAGTGCTTCGAATCTCGATCCTAAATTGCAGATATTAAACGAATTGATTTTTAATTAATCGTATCTACAGACCTAAAGCCAGCTACTGAAGTGAGCGATTCCATTTTACCAATAACCGACCACTGAATACGAACGTGCGCGTCTGTCACAAAACCTCGCACATCCTCTATACTGACAATGTCGTCTTTCTAAATCAAAAACTTTACAGAAATCAAGCACCAGATATGACAATTCAAGGCTACACAGAAAACGACGATGTAAAGTGCATTTCCAAAAGCAATCCTGTTAGTCTTCAAAGATAAGGGTATATTCGAATAAAGACTGACAAGCAACTGAATATTACTACATTACAAAAACTGAAGTGTTCGTATTATTGGTCGCAGCCTCGCTGTAAAGTTTTCGTTTCCACTTTGTTTGACCAGGTTCTAGCAGCTCATAGTGGATCACATCCTGCTGATCCCATCAAATACAGAGCATTGCTTTAGCACCATGGATATTCGGCTTCGGCACTGATGTTCCCGGTTGGCCAGGCTTTACATACGACTTTTTGCGTTTCGGGTTGTCGTAGTGAATCCATTTTTTGTCCCCGGTAATGATTCGATGCAGAAAAGACTTCTTTTTGTACCGTTCAAACAAAATTTGTGACATGCTAAATCGTCGTTCGATATCTCTCGGTTTCAATTCGTACGGGACCCAATTTCCT